TCTTATGTCGCAAAAAATAATATACACGGGTTACTGGGAAGTAGATATATTCCTTGCAGGATGTGATAGAATATCTAAAATGACGGAAATGTAATACAATATGTATGGTGTGAAGTGAGTAGGTTTTCAGATATTATTATATGTTATATTCTTTATTGCACTTGTAAATTACAGAATATTGATCTTCTTCTTTTCATTTAAGAGTTTCCTCTTGTCGGGGCAACTAATTCATGCATCTTCTTCCAGCCAGTTCTATCCCAGGCTTGACCTACCTATACGACATGCCACCTAGTTTTTCTTTTATCTGTCCCATGTAGATATATAGATAGATAAGATATTTGCAATTTAAGATTTTTTTTGTAAAAATAACTCACTGAACGGCTTTTTTGTATAAATTTAAACAAAATTTTTATATGGATTTACTTTTTAATTTTCTTCGAAGACATTCCGAGACTTTAAAAAAGCTTTAAAAGTCAATTAATACTCAAGAATTTTTAACATTTTAAAATCATAAATTAAAAATATACAATGGCATCAGTCGTCCAAGAATTTCCTCATTTAATCTTGTCAATCTAAAATATTGTCAAATAATCTTTTTTGTAGTTGAAATATAAGTAAGAAAGTGAGGAATTCATGCAGTATCCTTTATACAAACTGTCAAAGCGATAGTTTCTCTGGTAATAGTTCCTGGATCGTTAATTGTTTAATATTACCTGAACTTAAATTGACAAAGCCACCTGGTGTGCAGTTCCGTATAATTATTATTCTAGTAGTGAAACTTGCTTGCATCATATCACGTGCCCTTTGCATATGTATTATTGAAGCTCACCTCAGTGGATGCGTCATCAAATATAAATTGGGTGCAGCGATCTTGTTTGCATGTACAATTCAGTTTTCACGAAGCATAGTTTATTTAGTGAGGACGCTCTAGTTTTATGTCCCAAGTTGTTTCTGAAGTGTGATTAATTAAATAGTCTTCAGGACGTTATTTCGGGCCCAAGGTTTCTAAAGTTGGTAAGATGACTTTGATACTTTGATTCGTATAAAACATTGTAGCAATTCTTTAGCGCACCACAAAAGTTGTCAAAGTCCGAACTTCTTTAGACGAGAGATAATTTTAGTTTATTATCTGTAAGAATGTTTTATGAAGGAACCCTATTGTATGAGATGAAGTTAGGCACATTTTTCCCATCTATCAACAGTCATTTTTAAAGGACATCTCAATTAGCTTGTATTTTATGCGCACATTTTATTTTATAATCAGCATCGGGTCTGTCCAAAAAAATTATTAAATTTTTACATACGATAGTGAATATTTTCTGTTATTATTCCATATTTATTTTGTAGTGATTGATGAAGCTTTTTTTTAGCGGAGAAAAAAGCTCTTTAAGCATTGAGCAATTACGGATACGGGTGTTAATTTCGTATTCGATATTTCTTCTAGACTTCCTGATTTGAGAGCATTAATTGTTAAATATTTATTATTATACAATTATACCAATAGATTATAGAGAATGTTGGTACTCCAACATACTATAGGCAGCAAGTAGGTAAAATAAACATAAATAATTGCAATTTACTAAACAATTAAATTAGAAAATTAAATTAACATTTCTAATTTAATTTTGTAATTGTTAACCCTATTACGGTTTATGTATAGGACATTCAATTCATATATTAACATCTTTATAACTTCATGATGCATTCATAAATAATTAGAATTAATAAATTAACAAAATAAAATATTAAATTTAAACAATAAAAATTATATAAATTATTAAAATGTCCATTTATAGGCATGTATCAGTTTCGTATTATAAAAATTATCTCGGCATGTAACCAGTACATGACTCTACACTACTATTTTTTATTACTGTTCTTTAATCTAAAAATCTTATGTTATCTTAAGACGATATATGTTAGGTGATTTCTGTCGAAGAAAGAATAAAATGGATTAAGTTCTTCAAAAAGGCTGTATTAAGCTTTATTGAGGGTCGGCAACACACGCATCACACCAGGACGAATACGGAATGCCTGCAACACTAGGTGTTACAGGCATTCATAGGCTACGGTGTCCCTGTTTACTATCAGATGGGTCATATGCTCGTTTACCACCATAGTAGTAAAAAGAAAAAAACAAAATTATAAAAATTTTACAACGTTTAAATTTGCACAAAGATATTGGGGTTTCAATTATGAAGAATCTAAATTTTAGTATTTATTCGCAACTTTATTTATATTCACCTATAATATAGATATTAGGTTATAACGAAAATGTACACAGGCGAACTTATCCCTTAAAGACTTATCTCAATTGTATTTGGTCACCTGTGATACTGAGGTACGTAGAAAAGAGGAGTCGTTCAATCAAAGTCACCTTAACGCCCTTAAAGAATCATTAATTACTCAGTCATTTACTTTACACACGCAATTGAATAGATAACAAATGTATATATATTTGTTAAACCATTCATACTGAACTGTCTGGCAACGCAAGCATTATCAAGTTTCTAAAAGAATTAGTGGTAGATTTATGTTCAATTTGGCCTTTGATTAATGTTATAGTGTTGATGTATACATTATTCATTAAAGAACAAGTAATTATTTAAAAAAACAAAAAAAAATATATAATAAAATTTAAAAAACAATTAATTAAAGAACACAAAATATTAATATTATTATAATTTTTTGTGCAACTTAGAATGTCAAAAATAAGGTGGGTCGTCAAAAAGTTCCTTTTGAAATTTGACAAACCAGATGGAAAGTGGTTCACCTGATAGAAAGTCAATTATCAACGTGAATAACATATATTGCTATTCTTTAAGATTAAGGTGATTGGCCTTCTATTAAAATAACTAAATAAATAAATAAATGAAGGAATACTTAACCAATTTTTAAATTTACCCCAGTACGGTAGCTCCATTTATTATCAAACGGGCTGTATGTCTATTTACTAACATAGTAGTATGAAAAAATATAAGTCTTAATTTTTTTTATATGACATCTATGCACAGACAGTGAGTTCGTTAAACTCCCGTTATATATGCATATGGACATTATATGCATACTGCAAAAAATACTACAAAGACGATTGAAGTATTATGGTTGAATAACAGAACGGATATAGAGAACAAAATAAAAAAAAAATACAGTATTGTGTTTCGACTGATACGTTCAGTATCGCATAAAGATATAAATACAGGGATAATGGGAAGGTTTAACAGTCCGTAATCCAGCGGTAGTATCCATGAAAATGAACTTTCTCTTTTATTGTATCGACGGTGTCGATTTTCGGCTTTTGGTGGTATTCCATATTATTATTTGTACTTAATATTATAAATATGAAACTGAGTTAGTTTGTTTATTTGTTCAACCTAAATGGTCACGTACAACGCGGTTTCAGAGATGTTTTCTCCCATGAATACTCAGGTTATGCAATGAGCAGCATGGGGTTCTTCAAAAGGGGGTAAAGAGGTTTCTTCAGGGTTGGCAACACGCGCGTAATACCTCTGGTATTGCAGGCGTTCATAGGCTACGGTAACCGCTTACCATAAGGTGGGCCGTGTGCTTGTTTGCCACCTCAGTGGTATAAAAAAAAATCATTTCAAAATTTGACTTACCCAAACATGGAATAAAGTAGGATAGTTTAGACTTTTTATTCTGGGCAATCAATATAATACTGCTAATAGTAAATAATTTATTTACATCACTCGATGTTTCAATCAGGTTATTCTAGTTGTGGTTACAAGAAATTCAGTATATTAAAACCTGGCAAACTAGTAATATTTAGATTATAAGGTATATAGATTAGGAATGTAAAAGAGAAAATACATAATAACAAATATTTTAGAGCGAGATAGACAAGTAGGACACTTTATTGCATAATTTAAACTCGAAGCTGATTCAGCGGAAATATGAAGAAGACAAATTAATTTTAAGTTTCGAAGCAGAATTAGTTTTAAGTGAATGTTAATTAGTTAATTAGAATTATTACATTAGAAAAGAAAGATTGACAAAATTGTATATTTATCACGTAATTATGGTATAAATATTTATCTCTTTAAATAAGATATTATAGAACTAGTAGAAATATTTTGTATATCAATTAGTAGAAAAAACTATTTAATTTAATCTAAATAAAGTTCTGAACGTTCTCGAATTGAAATAAAAATGAGAACAAATACGTGAATTTTTGCTATTTATGCAACTTAGATTCTATGTAAATTTAGACTTGCTACATGCACACATTTACAAAACGCACACTAGTGTAATATTTTTTTTTGTCTCGATTTGTGATTGCACTGCTAATCTGTTAGTACATAAGTACGTTAATCTACGTCTATGATTATGTCATAGTTTATACCCATATAAAAATACAATTGCAATACAGTATAACTAAAAGGCTCTCGGGTGGGAACAGCTGGGTGGGCACAGCCAATTATTCGTCTAGTATGATAATTAATTATGATAATATATGTATATTAATGAAAATCTATTAACAAAATTCTTATGATTTCACGTCTATGTGGTATTCTGCTATAGTAATAATTCAGCTTAACCCATAGATATTTTTAATAGATATCGTATTTTAATTTATCGTCGAAATATAATTTTAATATATAAAAAAATTATAACACAATAAATGATATATTAAGATACTACATTTATATTAAGACAAGTCTTTAAAAAAACTTATTTTTCAATAAGTCTTTAATATTATATTATATATTGATATGAGTAGTGAGAATTTCACGTTATACAAATGCAAAAAATTTTTTACTGATACATTTGATGTACAGTAATTACAAATGTTTAAATTATTAATTATTACTAAAATTATTTATCTGTGTTGATTAATTAATTATGTAATAAAAAAAAGTAGCTTTTCTAAGCGATAACCACGAAACTGGCATGTCGATGCGGACTATACCTACTCGGGTGAACTCCGCCCGCCCATAGTCAGTACACTGTAGGGCGCTGGATAGAACGCCCATCGGGGCGTCAGTGCAGCCAGTTACAAGTTCGAAATTCGTATTTCAAAATCTTTAATATTAATTTATAACTAAAGGAACTATATCATTTAGCTAATTTAATTTTGAATAAAGAATTTTTTATTCGCGAAAAATTTACAAGTTCTTATTTTGAATTTACGGACAGTGTAAGTGATGTGATAAACTAAATAGGTATTAGAGTGAAGTAAACTTTTTATTAGGAAGTTTAACGAAGTTTTTCAAGTTAGTCTGAAGATTGACGAAATACAGGTAAATAGATAAGTAAGATTATTTTAATATTGCATACTGTTTAAAAACTTAAACTTATTGTTTATATATTAACGAATAGCTGATTTGATTTTATACAAAGTTGACAAAATTGTGCAACCTAAAATAATAGCACTTCATTTGATTATGAAGTATAAAGTAATTTTTTTTAGAATTACATGATAAATACATTTAAATTAAAGAATGAAATTTTAAAAAGTTAATAATATAACAAAAGAAATAAAAATATATTATAAAAATTTATTATTTAGATTGAATCAAATTACTATTGACTTTTAGAAAATAAAAGTAAATAGTAATTTAAATCGTAATAGTGTTCTATATTCAAATTTCTTGGAACACAAACGGTATTGGCAGTAAAATTAAATGTTAGGCGTAACCGCCTTCGCCTTTGTCTTTGTGTTTAATTTCGATGTCGTCAAAGCGTGCCGTTTCTGTTGTGGTACGAGTACAACACTAACTTCAAGTCTTGATTCAAATGAGCTATGTATACGGCAATAACTCTTGGTGAGATTTCAGATGAGTAATGATTTGATTTATTCGGTTTGACGTCTTATATGATATGAATATAGCATCTATGTATTGTAAAAAATGTGCGTACATCCTTACTACTATTGTAAATTAATTAAAAAGTTAAATTAACAAAAAAAAATATACTATATTAATAACTTATCTTACTAATATAATAAAATTGTAACTAAACAATGCTTGTACATGGGCGATATTTATAAAAAACATATATAAAAAGGTCTTCAGACTAAAAAATACCAAAAATAATAATTTTAAAAATTTTTGTCTGTTTGTATGTTTGTTTTAGTATTACGCAAAAACTATTACATTAAATTGTATGTGGTTTTCATAGTTGTTTTCCTGAATGCCTAATTTAATATACTGTATATGTTATAATGTTATAATTATTTTTAATGAATAAATAAATAAATAAAAATGTTTAATTTTGATACGCCATCTGGAAATAAATAAATCACCACCTATTTCATTGGCTTTTCTACTTTAGAAATCTAGGCATATAAAGTAGCAGGCATTAAATCTAGTATTGATTATAATAGATGTACTTATCTGGAATAATAAAGGAAGATAAAGGAAACAAAACAAACAGTTTTATTATTATATTATTAATTGTTACCTGCGATTTCATTTGCATTATTGAGATATGATTATTTATTGTAATCGTTTATATCTATAGTAAGTTTACTATTGTAATATTTTGGAGGAAATAATAAAGAGTATGTATCTATCTATCTATATATCAATATACTGAGACAAAAATTGGCCTATGTTTTTCCATTACAAATACTATATGACTATATGACAATAGATTATGTCGGTAAAGCATCAAGAGGTAACAAACAAACTTACTTTCATATTTATAATATTAGTGAGAATATGAAAGCGTTATTTATTACCTTTTGGCTGTTTATCCTTTCGATCAGAGATAATGAAATTTTGAATATGCAGTATATTGGTATGCACTGGAAGAACGTAGAAACATGTAATACTTCCTGTATCTTGCGGCTTCATTCGCATAGATCAGTACATAAATTATCATATATGCTAAGTTAGGATATAATCTACTCCTGCGTTAAAATTCATTCAAATGTGCTTAGTAGTTTTGGTGTAAAAATACTTGTAGTAATATTAAATATTATTAATAATATATTAAATATATTAAAAATGTTTCGATATTCAAAATTGTTATCAACTTGATTACAACTTGATTTTAATTTTGAATATCGAATATTGGTCATTAGATGGCCAGTCGGCTATCAATCTACTTCTATTTTTAATTTATTCGATTTTTAAATTTATTACATTTAAACGTATAAAATAGAGCGTCTGTAATTTTAATAATTTTAGTCACAATCGTGAAGACAGATAGTGCTAAATTCTTTCTGTTATTTTATTTTTTATTCGCTATTCCCTACACTTCGATTTCAAAAGTAGAAAATCCAAATAATTACACCATGTTTAGATGGCATATTAAGTTAAAATATGCATCAAATTTTAAGTTGGATCTTTAGTAATACCGCTATGAAAATCGCATCGAATTTGTAATAGTTTTTTGCGTGATACCGGAGTATTTATACAGACAAAATTTCTCTAAGTTATTGTTTTGGATTCTTTGTTCTTATCAAGATATATTATTTTTTTCAAAATATTTCCCATGTATAATGTTACAATTTTATAATATCAGTAAGACATTATGTCTTTACAAAGTGTTCAATGAGGAAAGATTTTTTATTTATTTGAAAGTTATATAGATATAAGATTATAATATAAATTTACTTCAATAACTACAAAATTTAACCTCGTAGAAGTATGAGTAACTTGTTATTATGTACGGTGTGCTTAGTTTAAATATTATTCTGAACATGTCAATTTCAGTGCTAAGTCAATGGATTAAAGTTGTTTGGCCGCCATGTTTAAAGGCGAAACAGGTGTCGTAGGATTTGTGTTAAATTCTATAGCCTTTGTGCCCAATACGCTGGAATACGCCTCTGAAATATGAAATCCTTTGTACGATATGAACAGCAACATTTCAGATAATTTTTCGTTTTATGGACAAAAATTGAAGCATGCACATACTAATGATATAAATATAAAGGTGGGATAGGTAATAATAATATATTGTATGTTGTCACAATTTTACAGGGCCGTATCTAGACCCAAGTTTAAGGTAGGGCAAAAGAACTGTTTGGTAGAACAGAAGTCATAATACTTCGAAAAATCGAATCTGTCTAATTTTCTTGGATTTATCATTGTAAGGTAGGACATTGGGCCTTTTTAGGTAGGGCGTTGCCCCTAAATGCCTCCCCTAGTTACGGCCATACCCTTTTACCACCGTACTTCTCGCCATAGAGTTGGAGTTCACCTTCATTTCTTGAATGCATGGCATAGTACAATTCTCCGTGCATCTGTCCGTGTTTATTTCTATCTTGTACATCTAGGTTGTGGAATGAGCTCCCGTCTTCAGTTTCTCCTTTATAATATAATATGGGGAAAAAATATGCCTTAACACATTTTAAAAGCTGGCAACGCACTAGCAACAACAGCAAGTGAACCGTCTGCTCGTTTGTCTCCCTAATTATATAAATACTATAAAATTATTTTTAAAACTAATGTTCATTTTTTAAGTCTATATACATACACGCATAACGAGAATTTTACGAACTTACTGTGTTTGTTGTTTCCGACAATTGTTTCGATAATAATAAAAATATAATATAATAATAATATAGGTACCTACATATGGATGAAGTTAGCTTAGTTGGTCCATGATGGCGAATTCTCTTGGTATTAACCACGATAGTTTCCTTATTGGCTCCACTGAGAATCGAATCCGGGCACATTACGTTGCGTAAATCTCATTTACGCAAAGTAATGTGCTATTATAATAAACTCAATCCTATGGTGACGTCACTAACGACAGCAGCTTGCTGCACGCTAGTAAGCCATCACAGAACTGTGACACCACTCCCTTCAAACAGTATACCTATTATGTTCTCTTTGAGTGTTATATTCTTGCATTTGAAATTTATAAACTATTTATATAAATAATAAATAAATATCAAAATAATTTGTTACAACTCAATCTCACAGTCACTTATTCGGAGCATGAATATTTTAAAATTAAATTTAAAATTTTGTAATAACAGTTTAAAATTTCAATTTACAATAAATTTTAGTATTAAGATTTTATATTAATTTTTATTTAATATTTAAATAAAATTTACTTCTTTAACTTTATTTCATTTTATATTCTAGAAATAAAACAAAGTATTGAATTTTTATATGCCTAATATTATTCTATTTTATGAGAATGACATTATTTGTCCATTAGAACAGAGGGAATGGACAATTGTGGTGGATAAAAAAATTAAAATTGGATTATACTTCTTGCTTTATATAGCTATAAGAAGCCAAAATAAAAAATAATATTAAAACACATATAAGAAAAACAAAAACATTTATTAGCATCGTTGCCAGTTGCTAGCAACACTATATATTTATCAATATTGAGTAATGGCCTTTGTCATGCAGAAAAACCTGGAACACTAGGGGGGAAAAGGATTGTTAGCAAAGGAGTTTGACAGCTCTATTGCTAGCAATAGCCTATTAGGTCGACCTCCACGTGGTTCCCCCTGGAAACCATCGTGAGCAATTCTTGTTGAATTCGTCACGATGGGCTAACTGACCTGCTTCATCCTCACCTATGATTCCTCACTGGTGCCCTGCCGGCATATACCGATGGCACGGGTGGGGCTGCCATTCCATTATCACCCACTAAAAAAAACCTGTAACACTGCGACCTCTGTGACATGCTGTGCTGATCATTTTTAATATATTGAGTTTATATTAAGTTTAGTTTATATTGAGCGTGAAACTTACAAGACTTATAAAGTAGATATCAGTTAATTACTATAATTACGCTTGATGTAGCGTAATTACTTTTCATATAGAAGCGTATATTAATAACATTATATGTAGATATTCATCTATATATTATATTTAATATCTATATAAGTATCGGTATTAGTTACTTAAATAGTTTTCATAATACTGAGCAGATTGTCCTGACAAATTAATATTCTGAGATAAATAAAGGTTAGACTAGACTATCTTTAAGGACATGGGATGACGCAGGGATATTAACCTAATACCTGCCTTGCTTTTAGGTACAATGTCCAATACATTATATAGATAATATCGTATTGTTTTAAATTATTTTAAAATAACGTTGTTTTCTATGTATGTATATATTACAGCAAGATATTGGCTGTATATATTACAGCAAATTATGTCTGCTTCTTGGAATCCATACAAAACTGATATTTAAAGTCTCTATAATTTGACACTTAATATGTCTTCTGTATTGTAAGCAGATGTGGAAACTCTCATATCAATTTCTTAATGGATTTAAATGGATTGGTAGCCAGTCTGCGCAGTTAGTTTACACTGATGGG